TAAAATAGAATAGAAAGTGTTAGAGTTAGAGGGTCAAATAAAGGTGGAACAGATGTGTTTTTAGTCGTTTCGTGAAGATGTTTAAGGACTCAGCTGCTCGGATTGATTTGGGCAGGTCATTCCACGAGGAGGGAACAGTTAATGAAAAAGTCTGTGAAAGTGATTTTGTGCCTCTTTGAGATGGCACAATAATATGCCGTTCGCTTGGAGAATGCAAGCTTCTAGAGGGCACATAAGTCTGAAGTAATGAATTTAGGTAAAGGGGTGCAGAGCCAGTGGTGGTTTTGTAGGCAAACATTAATGCGTTGAATTTTATGCGAGCAGCTATTGGTAGCCAGTGCAAATTGATAAACAGAGGTGTGATGTGCATTCTTTTCGGCTCATTAAAAATTAATCTTGCTGCCGCATTCTTTATTAATTGTAATTATTATTGAATGCGTCCACCACACAAACCACACTACTGTTCAGAAATTTGGGGATGGTCATCATGGGGATGGTTTATTTGCTCAAAATTACAGTAAAATCGTAATATTGAAATATTATTACAATTTAAAAGTATGTATTTTAATATATTTTTTTAAATGTTAATCATTTCTGTGATGGCCAAGCAGAATTTTCAACATCATTACTTCAGTCTTTACTATCACATGATCTATCAGAAATCATACTAATATGCTGATGTGGTGCTTAAAGAATGAATGTACTGCATATAGATATATATGTGTGTGTGTGTGTGTGTGTGTGTGTGTGTGTTTATAGACATTTTAGAATTCTTCAATAAATAAAAAGTTAAAAAACAGCATGTATTTTAAATAGAATTTTATTGTAAAATTATAAATATCATAAACTGTCAATTTTGATCAATTACCAGCATTCTTGCTGCATAAAATAATCATAATAATTTATTTTTTGAAATTAGTGAAATATATATTGTGAAACTACTGGTATTTTCAATTTGTGTGTATATTATTTATATACCCACCCGGTGTCTTTTATGACTCCAGTAGTCTAATGCTGTGTTTTCAAGCGCTCTAGAAACTGTCCTCCTCCCCCTCCAGCTCAATACACTCTCGTCATTATGACCTTCTGCTCTCTGACATTTTTCAGCATGGCATTTACGTTTCCTAGCAAGAGATGAGCTCTACATATCTTTTTTTAAAACTAGTTTTGTTTTAATTCATACTTTATCTTCTCTGTGTCTTTCTTCACTGTTCCATCTGTTTGCTACAACACTACTGTATATTCACTTCTATACTTGCATTTCAGCATTTTAGTGCATTTTGCATGGATTTCGCACATCACTAAATGTAATATATGTACCTTTGTGTGTGTGTGTAGTGATATCCAGGCGCTTCAGAGGAATGTTTCATCAGAACCCACATCTGCAGTGAAGTCGACTCAGTCTAAAGAAGACACTCCATGTGGTAAACCCCCCCTAGACAATGGACAGTATTTGGATATACGAGGGGTCACAGAAACTGACAGCTCCTCGGATGCCAACACTACAAAGACCTCAGCCACTACTGCTACTACTGACTGCACTGAAAGCACCACTACTGCTACACAACCTCACAGCAAACTAAAGTCTCAGAGTCAGCAGGGTAAAACCTCTGTGCAATTTGACCAGCCCAACAGGTGAGAACCTGCGCTTCCTTATTGCAGCGGACACTCTTATGATATAAAAAAGGAGTTGATGAGATGCACAGATACATAAAAAAAATTATATTAGAAGTGAAATCTTAGTGAGCTTTCTATTTAGGCCATATTTTCGGTGTAATAGTCACTCCTAATATGAAAGCTTTGCAAACATTAAGCTGCAAACTAGCCGTCATAGAGCTTTGCTTATTTGAATGGTTGCTGTAGTGTTGCTTTATGGTTTCTGATATGTTTTAATTGGTTGCTAGGGCATTGGTAGGTGGTTGCAAGGGTGGTTACTAGGTGGTTGTATACCATTCCAACACAAAGGAGTCAAATTTCATGTCTCTATGATTTTCTGGTTGGCGTTAGTAAGATTTTTGAAAATATTTTGAATGCTTTTTTAATTAGTTAATATATTTGGTTACACTTTATTTTAAGGTGTCCTTGTTACAGTGTAATTATACATTTAAGTTCTGAATAATATTAATTAACTACATGTACTTACTACTTACTATATGGTTAGGATTAGGTTTAGGGTTACTTGTATGTAATCATGCATAATTTATTGTTATTATAATAGTAAGTACATGTAACGTGTAACAACGAAACCTTAAAATAAAGTGTTACCTTATATTCTATTAAACAAAGAATCCTGAAAAACAAATAATGGTTTCCACAAAAGCGTTAAGCAGCATAGCTGGTTTCAACATTGTCAACCGGGTTATTATAGTTAACTAAAATTAATTGTATAATAAAAATGTGTTATTATTATTATTATTATATTACTATAAAAAAGTAATAATTATTATTTTGATTTCAATTGCTAAAACAACGTTTTTCATTTTAATTTAGTTTAACTTTAACTAAAATAACTAAAACTGAAATAATGAGTTTATCTCAATGATACTACAATTACATTTATTAATAATACAAAGAAAAGTTTCTTGTGCACCAATCGGTATATTAAAATGATTTCTGAAGGATCATGTGACACTGAAGACTGGAGTAATGGCTGCTAAAAATTCAGCTTTGTCAGGAATAAATTACTTGTTTAAAATAAAGTAAAATAGAAACCACTTGTTTTCAATTTGAAAAATATTTAAAAATATTACAGTTTTTTTTCTCTGTTTTTAATCAATTAAATGCAGTCTTGGTGAGCATAAGAGACTTCTTTCAATAGCATGAAAAAATCTAACCAGCCCCAAACTTTTGAACAGTAGTGTACAAGTCTGAAGGATTTTTTTTATTGTTTGTTTTATTGCCTGCCAGATGGAAAATCATAAATTCGAACAAGTCAGCTACTGAAAAGATTAACAGTTAGCGTTGCTCAAGTAAATGATGCCCATTAAAAGTATTTCATATGAGTCATTTAAAGGGATAGTTCACCCAAAAATGAAAATTCTGTCATTAATTACTCACCCTCATGTCGTTCCAAACCTGTAAGACCTTCGTTCATCTTCGGAACACAAATTAAGATATTTTTGATGCATTCTGAGCGCTCTCTGACCCTCCCAAAGACAGCAAGGATCTTTGCATGATCAAGGCTCAGAAATGTAGCAAGGAGATCGTTAAAATAATCCATGTGACATCAGTGGTTCAACCGTAATTTTACGAAGCTAAGAGAATACTTTTTGTGTGCAAAGTAAACAAAAATAACGACTTTATTCAACAATTCATCTCCTCCGTGTCACACTATAGCGCCATTTTGGAGAGTATCACATACGTAAACAACGTATGCTGTTCTTTGTCAGCACCACCGTACGCAGATACGCTGTTTATGTTGTTTTCACTTTGATCTGAACGTAAACAACGTATCCGCGTACATATGTTGCATACGTTGTTTACTTATGTGATACTCTCCAAAATGGCGCTATAGGGTGACGTGGAGGAGACAAATTGTTGAATAAAGTCATTATTTTTGTTTTCTTTGCACACAAAAAGTATTCTTGCAACTTCGTAAAATTATGGTTGAGCCACTGATGTCACATGGATTATTTTAACAATCTCCTTGCTACGTTTCTGAACCTTGATTGTGCAAGATTCCTTGCTGTCTATGGGAGGGTCAGAGAGTGCTTGGAATGAATCAAAAAATCTTAATTTGTGTTCCGAAGATGAACAAGGTCTTACAGGTTTGGAACAACATGAGGGTGAGTAATTAATGACAGAATTTTCTTTTCTTTTCATTTTTGGGTGAACTATCCCTTTAAGAGTCAGTAACCTATTCTCTTTGGATTTTATTTTAGACTGTAAACAATAAGGCAGCCCTCCCATTTTTTTTACATAGCTGTTATGGCACTAGATGGCAGCACTGCATTAAGCACCATTGCAGTCCTCGTCCAAGTCGTACTGCAGTGCTGACTGGCTCCATATATTCCATTCATCATCATTTTGCACATCTGCTCCTGATGGACTTTTACCCCACGAGGCTGATTCAGACAAATGACCCTCTCCTTGTTTTGACTGTTCCTATATTAGCTTTTTGCTCTGTGCTGTGGAAAGCTGGGCTAATATGTAGAGTTATTGGTAACCGGAGGTGGAGGTGGATTGTTAAATCATGTTTTGTTTGCTTGTGCAGAAAGCTGTCTCCGGCCTTCCACCAAGCACTTTTGTCCTTCTGTCGAATGTCTGCTGACAGTAGGCTGGGCTCAGAGGTGAGTGGGATCGGGTAGCATACAGGTACATCAGGCCCGGTTCTTGACAGCCATAGAAGGGTGGGCTGGCAGATATCCTGGGTGGGCATTTTAGTCATCATATAATCATATAGTCTAGAAGATATTTATACTGTAGATATTGCTATATTAACTATATTATATGTACACTGAAAAAAAGCTTTGATGGGCAGCCTAGAATATCATGCATTTTCACAGCAAAATAACCTTTTTTTTCTTTATTGAATAGTAAAAAAAAAAAGCCTTCTTTGTTATCTTTCTCTGGATCATTGTTTCAACACTGGTGATTCTTTTCAACTAACTTTTTTATTTATACCAAACAAGGCCATAATCATGTCTAGAACATTGGAGGGACCAATTGAGACTCAGGGATGAAATCGAGACTTTCATCGCACAAGCTCTTTACTTTCAGTTTTCATTCTTACATTCAGCATTAACAGCAAGCCGTAAGCTTTCAACTGAACTGTATAGCCTACATGCATTTTAGACGCTTATATTATGCTCTTGCCCCGTCCATGCAATGAATGCACGTTATTGAATGAGCAGGATTTTTAGAACATTAAAATTGCTCAGGTAATTTCAGTGGTAGGCTATGATATATACAGGGTTCCCACGCTTCTTGAAAGTACTTGAATTTCAGACATATGGATTCAACGCCTGGAAAGTACTTGAAAACAAACATAGGTCCTTGAAAGTGCTTGAATTAAATTTGAAATAAATTTTGTTTATGGCGCCATTTAAAAATTGTCCTATATGTTCTGTCAAAGACCGAACAAGCGGCACTAATGATTGGGGGTGGAGATGGGGGAGCGCGAAAAAAAAAAACGTGTGTGTTGACGCGCAGCCTAGAGACCTGAGTGGGACAGTTTTCTTAAGCCCGCTCCCACTGAATTTCTGAGCATTACCGCCCACTCCCGCAACGTGTGTCCCGCTCCCGCAAACATTATAATATTGTATATTATTTTCGCACATCAGGAAGCCGCTATCAATATTTACCATGTTATTACAGCATTTAACCACTTTTTATTAATTTGAAAATTGAGAAATTCTTTCTAATTTAAATCTTGAACAAGAACTACAGCAAAAATCAGTTTTATGCATATTTTATCAATATTTTAGAAATTTAATTTGAATATTACCAGTACTGACTTCAATGGATTTCATTAAATTCCTTTGAACACGACTGCTCAAAACGGTCTAAATTTATGAAATCTACACATTCAAAACATTATTACTCTGAAATGTTTAATGTAAATGTTAAGGGTAAGTGAAATGTTAAGTACTGTGAGGTCTTTCATGACACTACATATGCTGGGGTGTGAATTTGATAGGTGCTTGATATAAAATAAATGGTGCTTGAAAAAGTCCTTGAAAGTCCTTGAATCTGGTGTTCATGAAAGAGTGGGAACCCTGTACATATTCATGTAGCCTGTTACAGTGGTTCCCAACCCTGGTCCTGGAGGCACCCCAACACTGCACATCTTGCATATCTCCTTGCTCTGACACACCAATTTCAGGTCTTGGAGTCTCTACTAATGAGCTGATGATCTGAATCAGGTGTGTTTG